GCAAACACTCTTCGGGACCACCGCCCTCACCGCGACCGACGGGCGCGGCCGACGGCCGACGGCCGCCCAGGAGCGTAAAGAATCCGGTTCCTGGGCGATTCGCAGAGAGAAAGCCGATGTCGCGGAGCTGGGGATTCCAAAAGCTGTTTCTTCCGTAAAGAAAATAGCTGTTCAAACTGACTCCCATCCTCCCATCCTCAGCTCTATGTTTCTTTTTGGTTTTGCATGACTGTTTCAGTGCAAAGTTCCATTGTGGATCAGGATTCCTATCGGTTTTGTGGAGCCATTGGGCCAATCTACTCTAAACCTACTTTATCCATCTTAGATCCCCAAACGTCTTGCCTTGGAGAATTCCTCATTTGAGGCCTCCTTATACTTTGTGTATCACATGCAATTCATGGACTTTTCCATGTAGACTTGTTTGGGATGAGTCTTTACCACTGTACCGTGCACCTTGTCATTCTTGCCTTGGCCATACCAGCCATGCTGCTCGCTTTTTCCCACCTCTCTCCAAGTGTCTGCTCGCCACACATCATGGATGTTGGTCTTCGTGAACTCTTGGTCAGATGGACTTAAACCCAAACCTCAGGAAAATCCACGTCCAGGCGCTTGAGGGACTGGAGCAAGGCTTGGATGGCGCAGGATGGCACAGGCCACTGAACAGCCAACGCACCACCAACGGTGAGGGTGTTCTAAATGAGTTGTATAAGCGTGGTGCCCGTGATATGCCAATTGAGATTTGTGATCAAAAGTCCATCCTGGGAGTGGGAGTCGAAAAGAAAAACATGCAAAAAACAAACATCACAAAACACATAGAAACACACCGTTTTGGACCCACTTGCGCCTTTTGTTGGAGAAAATAAACAAACGCCCTCCATGGGCATTCGGGGGAGTTCTCCGTTCTCCATTCTCATCCGAGCTGCTGTGACCATCACTATCACTGATCCGGACTCGTGCCTGGTCGGGTGCCAATCCGGGCCAATCAGCAAGCAAGAACAATCGCATTACGATCTCACGCGGTATGTATCACATGTTATTCATAGATGAGTTTCCCGGTAACTCACCAGTTGCATCTAGAAGAACAGGCATTGCCATTGCTGAAACTGTGACAAGTGGCATGTGTGCAACAAAGCTGGATGTCTCCAGCTGAATGGATGCCTCCAAAGGCCAATGGGCCAAAAGCATTTCCTTAAAGAGATTCAAACGTTTTAGCCACAATGTTGTGTTCAAATTGATCCAACCCAGATCGGGCATTGATAGTCCAGGAAATCCCTAAGATCATGATAAGCATACAGCAATATATGCAGCATGACCGGACCCCTCCACAAAAAAATGCCCCCGCCAGTCGTCACCTTCGTCACCCACCCGTCACCCCTGGGGCGTTTTCGTCTCACGGTCACGTCGTGTGCGTCGCTCGCCCAGTGGCGCGAGTGCTCGTGCCATTCGCGGAGCTGAGGCTGGCGTGACCTGGAGCGAGCGTCGGAGGCGGCATGGGACGTCGAAGGCCTCGGAGGCACCGAACGACCGGCAAAGCACGGAAAAAGGAAAGAACACACACGACGAGTCACGGAGGCCTTCACTTTGACACTCTTGGGGCCCAATTCACCATGGGTGTTTCTTGAACCCATCTGTTTCGGATCCTCTTCTTCCCCCACCGAAGCCTATCATTCTTACGGACCTGGTATTTCACTGGGTGCGGTCCGATGCAAAAAAAAAGACAACTTCTCAATGAGGTCGTTCAAATCAAAAAGAACTGAACGACTGGCCCGTTCGGTCAGTGGAAGTCGTGCGCGGGGAGAGTCTTTCTAGCTTTCGATGTGCGGACCGGTCCGAAGAGCCAAACCGCCTCGCAACGTGTCGGGAAAGAACGTGTTTAACGAACACGCTGGGCGAAGCCCCGGAGGTGCTTCCTCCGGCCTTCTCTCCGGGTCTGACCGAGTCTCCGGTCGGAGCCGGCTCCGAGTCTCTGCGGCGTACGAGGTGCACGTGGGAACATGCCGACAGCGGAGCGTGCGGGCGAAGGTTAGCGTTGGTTTCTTTGGGGAGGCACCGTTCTCAGAAGCATGAATGAAGAGAGTCATCCTCAGGTCATGAACCAACAAATCATCTAGTCATCCCCAAACACTCCATGGGACTGCCATAGGACTGCCTACTACAAATGACCCCTCTGGCACCACCACCCCAACTGATCGGCAGTCCCCATAGGCAGTCCCATGGCCCATGGGTGTGTCTGGGATCATTGAGTCTCTTGAGCCATCTGGAGTGTGTCAGGAAACCCTTAGTTTTTATAAGGAAACGAGCTTGCTTCGCCAGGTCACTGAGCGAGCTTGCTTCGCTCATTCTCCTGATTCATCGTGGCGATTCGGAACAAGAGAAATGAGAACCAATACAGCACCCTAAGCCTCCAAGGACCAAAGTGGCGCTTGAAGATTAGGGTGTACATTTACATTTGTACAGCCATTGATTGACTGTGCTTATCAAACCAGACTGAGTAAGTGTTGCGACCGGTCGAAGTTGGACCTAAGAGGTTCGAAGTTGGACCTAGTTGCGGGTTTGGTGCCCTCTAATTCTTAGGACTTCATAGAACTATATTATCTACCTGGATCTGTCATGCGAAGTTTATTGTCATCTTATTTTACCATATAGTACTTTTATTATAGATCTTCTATACCTGGATCTTCGAAACAGCCCACCAAAAATGCTGTGCCGGGTCCACCTGAGGTGTACTGTATCATTACCCCAGGAGTCCCACCGCTGTTCCGCGGCGTCCGTTCTGCCAAGCTTCATGAGCTCATGGAGCGGCGTCCCGGTGCCTTCACCCGCCTGAGGGCATCGGTCGGTTGCCGGAGGCGAACGAGATGCGTGGGTAGCCGATTCCATTCCGCCAATGCGAGAGCTAAGAGTCGCTTCAGGTAGCTGGAAATATATAGAAGATCTGTTTGAGATCTGTTTGGTGTCTAAATCTAAGTGACTAGGTGAGTCGAATCATGAGTTTCCACGAGCTCCGATTCTTTTCTGTTGAAGCTTGATTGAAGATCTCATTCAGAAAGCTCATCTTGAAAGGATCGAATCCCTACCAGCCCTACCACCCAAAAGCGCCTGCACCGCGTTCTCTTCCAGAAAGCCTTTGCCTTGGATCTTCGGCAGAAAAAAGAACAAAACAAAAAAACGTTGTGTTTTTGGAAAACAGGTATCAGAACAAAAGGTGCCTTTGATCTTTAGCTTGCGATTAGAGTTTTCATCGATCAAACAACGAACATGGAAAAAGCACAACAACATCAACAGCCGTTTCACTTGTCGAAGAAGGCTTGCCAAGATACTGCTCTTGTGAGAAGTCGGGCTGTCAGCTTGCCCCACCTAAGCAGCCATTCTTGAAAAATGCACACTTTCACATTTCCAAGAGCATTCTAAACAACAACGGCCAACAGCTTTAACATATTGTTTAACCATTTAACATGAATTTGAACTATAGATATTTAACAGATCCTTTTAAACCATTGTCAACTTGCATCGAGTCCATCATCCTTTTGTCGCCCCCATCTCCTTGTGTACTCAGTCGCGCTAGTAGTACAGTCGTCAGTCTCATCAGGTCGGGTCACCGGTCCCGGCATGTCATGGAGCACTCCATTCAGCTCCTCGTCTTTCCAAAGGTCCCCATGCCAGTCGAACGAAGTGCCTGCGAGGTCCCGCACCGGGGGTCCGACCGAAAACGCGGCACGGCACGGCAGCAGGACGGAAATGGGAAAAAACAGGACGTGGCTTTTCGGTGCTGCGGCTGTTCGGTGCGTCCCAGCTGCTCTGGCTTGCTTCCGTGATCTTCCGGAGGGTCTTCTCCAGTTGAAGCAGTGGCTCTAAGACATGTCTCACCTGTTGGTGAGTTTCCTGCAGAAATGCCCCATCCATGGGGCTGCCCGGGCCACAGCACGGGCGATCGGCGCCCTGGCGCCGATGCAGCGCTCGTCGGTGACTGGGGCCAAGGCGGATCACGGCAGATTCACGGCACGACGTGCGGTCAAGGCGGTCCGGGTCAGGGTTTGTTGGGATCATTTTGGATGTTTCGAGGCTCCATGAAGTTCCCACATGAGTTCCACATGACGTGGTACCGAAACAATGGGACGAAGAATCAGGGCCTATCTGTGCTTTTTTCCCCCGCTTCTTCAGCGGAAAACGGTTCAGCGCCGTTCAGGGCCCGCACGGAAGCCCCCCGTGACGAGAGACGCGAGACGCGGGACGCGAGACGCGAGGCGGTGAAACCACGGAGAAAAGCCAGCTAAACTGCTTGATTCTTAGATATAGATTTATACTTAAATGCCAATTCTGTTGAATTCTTGTTTGTAGTTTCTTGTTCCTAGTAGTAAGGCCAGGAGCCCCGAACATAGCGTCCTTGCTCCGTTCGTAGCGATGCCCTTTGCTCCGTTCGTAGCGAACATTGCTCCTACTTCGATTGGGACGCCCCAAAAGACCCAGACCGAGGCATTTTCGCCAATATATTTGGCCGGCGGGTTTTTGGGGTGGTGAAGCTTGGTCGGTGCGTGACCTGCGAATCTGCGTGCGCAGGGTCTTTTTGCCCGGTCGCTTCCTCGCGGTGGAGGCCCGTTTTGGCCACACCTGCAGCATCCAATGACGTGAGGACAACGAGAGAGGAAGGTGACCGAGGAAGGTGAGAAAAGAGAAGTGCTATAAAGGACTCCGAACAAAACCGGTTCGTTTCGGTATTTGTTTAAGCCATGTCATGACTCAATGACCTCCATCACCAAACGTCCAAGAAAACGTGCAACGGCCAGAACTGGCACGGCCTTCGGGGCGCCAAAAAGGCGCAGCTGATCAAACAGCGCAAGCCTGGCAACGCCGCCCTGGCAACGCCGCGTTGCGAAATGCCAAACGCGTTGCGAATGGATCAGAGGCAAAAAGGGTGAACACAAAAAAGGCGCAACCAGGAAGGGCGAGCAGATGCGAGCAGTGAGTTGTGCAATAGGTATACAGTTCACCAAGAAGAGCACAACCAAAAGTGACCACCACTTGACACGTTTCGTTTCATTCTGCCGAAGAACATCCTTCGTTTCATGACGTGTTTGTGTTTGGGTCCAGCTCAGGCGGTGTTGTACGTTCAGATTTCGACCGGTGCCTGTCAGATGTTCGTAAGTATATAAGCTCAGAGAAAAGTGGGTCTTTTGAGTTCCGAGAAAAAAAAGGCAATGGATTATGAATAAGAATGGTTGAATAGGCGATGGTACGGCCATGGACCGCAATGCTTTTTACACAGCAAACACATCGACGGATCCGGTCTCCCCCCAGCTTCGACCAGCTTCGATGGACCGAAGGTTGAGTATGCAACGCTTCATGTGTGTTGCTGAGGTTGAAAAGAGAACGTGGGAAGACTCGTCAAGACATGTCTAAACATATTTTCACTTGAACGTGGAGGATTCACAGACAGGATCCTCACATAAATCATCCAGGACTCCTCGCAAATGCACAAACGGGAGCGTCCAAAAACACACCCGGCTCGCTCGGCGTCGGAGATCCAAAGATGTCTCAGATCGGCGTCGGGAGCATCGGGCAGCTGCTGGCAGCACTGAGAATGCACAGCACAAACACCTTCGAACACTTTTTCACCCGTTGCTGCAGTCAAAACGGTGCAGCGGGCAGGATTTGCGCACCCGCCGGCGGCGTTCGAAGAGCTGTCTAGAGTGTCTGTCGGCCTGATTGGACCTCCCAGACATCCAACGGTTTCAATCTAGGCAACAGGGGATTGAAGAATCCCAATGGGAAGGTGCTTAGCTGGCCCATGGGTTCAAAGGTTGACCTATCGAAAAGAGAGCATTTTGTGAAGCTTTACATCAGGCGGATGGTCAATGTTGCCCAAATATGACATGAAGATTCCATAAAACCTCAAATCCATCCAAATCCCATCATTTCCTCTCATAAAAAGACTTGCATGTCGGAAGCAGAAGCCACTTGACACCTTCCCAGTTGACCCCGGAAACACAAGGGCTCGGGGACCTTCAGTTCTAAAGCTGCTAGTTGTACAGTACGTCTTGCGGCCGCTTCAAACATGTTCCGCTCCGAAACGAGTCGGACTTCCGACTTCCACGAAACTCGGTCGCTTCCTTCTGCCACGCCCGCCCCGACACCGCAGGACGGGACGGGACGTCGGCTTCGACCGCTTCAAGAAGAAGGCTTCGACCAGTCGGCTTCCGGCGTCCGTGATCAAACTGAGCTCACCGAACCAAGAACCCTTGGAGTGCTGGATGATGCGTAACGGTCATTCCGATACGTAACGGTGGCAGTGTCCCAAGAGGACGTGGAGGCCTTTGACGTGCCTATGCGATGGTAATTCAGATGTTTTCTTTTGGGATTGCCTCAGGCATTTGAGAATGTCCTTGTGGTCAACCTATCTGTGATCTTCGGACCCGAAAACGAAGCCATGCACACCTTTCCGGAAAGGCGGCCACTTGAAAAAACAAACCACCAGACAGTTCTTTGTGTCCGCTTTGTTTTTTGTCAAGTGTCCGCTTTGAAAGGGTCACATAGCAGAAACAACTTTTGAGGTCACTTGTCAGCGTCGACACGGGGTCACTTAAGAAGTGTAGAGGACACTTAAGAACCAACATGTTAGCAAACAATCTCAAACAAAGGTGGTGACAGAACAATGTTGGGTACCCCAAAGATTGAACAACTTCCCTTCAAAAGACTATAGATGACCCAAATTCCAACTCCTGCCATTCCCCCACTTCCTTTCCCCTCCATCCACTCTCCGGCTACATCGTGGTCAACGTCTTCTCCAAGAGAAGCCATCCAGCAGCTTCCAAGGACAGATCGAGCTTTTGTTTACAGTGACTTTGGAAAAACAGTCGGTCGTGCAGTATCATCTGCCTTTGGAAGACTTCACACCCTGCAAACGCCGTTGCCAACGAAGGCAAACAAACGCCGAATATCTATCAAGGACTTGGCGTTCCAAAAGACGGGGTGAAGCGTGAACTGCCATGGCTTTTATTTTGCCAACGAAATCTTCATCGCAATAGCAAGAAATCCATAATGGATTCATCCTGTATGCCTGATCCAGGCAAATATGATCAAGACGGTGGACCTTGGGTCGCACCTTCCAAAGAAGAACACCTTTCGATAATGCTTCCATTGCCAAGGCGTTCAACGCTGAATGAAACAAATAGCATGCTTCCTGCCATGCTGGACAAAAACAGGAACACACTAGATGTCAAGTCGATCAGACATTGAAAATTGCAAGCTAACAGCAATACGTCCTGAAGTTCACAGATCTTATTTTCATGTGGAAGAAGTAGGCCTTGCTTGGTCATGGCTCGCCTCATGGCCACAAAGTTCACGAAGACGGCCGCACGTAGCCTCAAATCACCCATCAGACATCCATGGGTATTTCATCAAACCCTAGTGACCAGTGAAGTGCTCAAGGAAAAAACAATTGCAAAGCAAAGAAACTTGGCATGCTCGTTGTTGGGTTCTTGACATGCAACTGCAAGTGTGACTCCCATAAGCCACTTTGCCAGCACAACAGCCTCCTTGGGTGCAAGGACGAAGGGTTGCTACAGGGTTCAAAAAGAACATGGTATACACAATCCTTAGGCTAGCCACTGCAGCATTGCAATGTTTTTGAGCAAGACTGGGATAGTTCTTCGATCCAGCACAGTGCATATGTTTCCTGAGCACAAGACACTGACATTGAAGGTCTACACATGAATGCACCGACCACGTCTTGCAAGCACGGTGCAGAGAAAAGACTCGCCCTTTGTTTCCTGAGCTTGAACGATGCGCGTACGGTATACTTGCAATACAACGCTACAAAACAAACAACTGTGTATCCCAAGTGACTGATTTTGTGCAGCTTGCAGTGTTTTACAAACTGAACATGTGCTGCGCGAAGCCGCTCATCCATGTTCGCACCTGCACCAAAGATTGCAGGTAATGAGGGGTGTTCTCTTTTAACTTGCAAAGACCCTTGAGAGCACCTTGCCATAATCATCAGTCTCGCAAAGTTCATACAGGGCCTTAAAAGCCATCAACCCACATAACTCACCAATGAATTCACATGGTTCACGCAGTAAACTAGCGCAGCCCAAAAACACTGGCACTAGCCTCTGGGATGAGCGTGAGGTCTCTTACGCGCAGCCAGTCCCCATGGACTATCTGCAAGTTCCAGCCCGCTAGTTGCACCCACGGATTTGCACGGCAGCCATGCCGAATGAAGTCGGAAGTACTAACCTCACCAATTATAGCAATGCATGCGTGCATGCATGGTATAGACATACCAGCCATGAGGTAAAAACAATCGCAACTCCACACCATCCATAAAACGGATAAAAAAAGTTGGAGAAACAGCTGTGCTCCGGTGGGGCGCTCCTTTTCCATGAAGAGTGTAAGCATGAGACCCTGATGTAGTAGCACGGCACAGCCAGCAAGGCATTTTCGATGCCCAGCTAGAACACATATGATATGTTCGCTGTAGGTACTTGTCATCTCCCTTGTGGCATGCCAAGCACCCAAACCAACCCTCTGCTATGGGTTGTCCAGCTTTACCTTCTCGAGAAGGCATGTGGTTCCCCCACGGGTCAGTAGCTGCCCAGACTCCACATTGGAGCTCATGGAGACCCCAGCAAACCCATGCATCAAGAGTATCCCATGTCTCATCCACACATCGCTGATTGTCTGTCATATAGCCATATAGAGAAGTAGTCTGGCATCAAAAGGAGAGCACTCCCCAACCAACACAGACGACAGTGTGCACACACAGAAAGATCGACGCCGATGGCTCTTAGAATCATCAGCATGGATGGATAGCGGAACGCATCGTGATAGATCTGTGCCCTCAGAACGATCTTCAAGTGTGCAACCTATTTTTGGTATGAATGTTGCGAATTGGTATAATGCCAATCCATGTCAAGCAGCTTGCTGTGACAAGATCGGGTGCTGCTGGAACCAAGCACTATTTTTGTTCTGCTCCCAAAAAGCAGACAGAGCCTTGCAACAGAACCCCCAAACAAAAGAGCATGGCATGCACACCATTCACAATGCACACGAACATATCACGCATCGAGGTTGCATCTGGGTCAGCTCCCAAAAAGCGTTGAGAGAAGAGTTGGAAGGAGTAGGCATATATGGATGCGAACCTGCCAGCAGTAGCGAGGAGAGGTTCAGTAATATATATGGTTCAGTAATATATATGGTACAAGTGTTGCATGCAAAAATGAGAAAACCAAGAAGCACTTCAGAAGGCAGGAACATGGGAATTGTTCCAATCTCATACTGTTCTTGCTAGCCAGGATCAATTGTGACCACACTAATCCTTTGGCGACATCACACACCAGAATTGCAAGTTCAACCAAGCCCATGAAAAAACATATCAGTCAAGATGCGGAACATGTCTAGGCAACATCCTCCGCCATACTTGTCGATTGAGCCACTGCCAAAACATCCGAGGACCGTTCTGCACATGACCCTTGTCCAATGGAAGGAGGTCCCGAAGAGAAGCCCTTGGTGTATTTTTCAAACACATGCACACCCGGCAACGCAACGCTCACAGCCACGCAAGGCAAGCACCATGCAAACAAGCGTCGGCAACAATCTAGCCGGAAAGCGGCGTTTGATAATCGCAAACATTGCCATAAGTTTGGTCACACTTACCTTGGATCCCCAACGCCCCAAAAGCACAGCAATTGCGATCGATATGTTCTTTTTCAGTTGACATTGAATTGGCCAAAGCACTTCCCGTCCCAGTTCTAGGAACTCCTCCACGATGTCGAGAGCAACTTTGTTCATGACACAAAGACTTGGCCCACCATCTTTGTTTCATGATCGGATATCCCCGCCCGTTTGATTCGTTCCAAAATGCCACATCCCAGCAGGACAAAACAAGTATCAAGCTATCGAGTGAAGAGGCCTGGGCAGCAAGTATATACATGGAGTGCCGGAGTGCAAGCTGGAATCTACAGTGCATGTTGAATCCAGGGTCTCAAGATTTTGAATGCCCCAATCAGCACGATGGTTTCATCGTGTTTGTCCCTATTTGTCATCAACTGCAACCCAGGATTGAAACAGTTTCGTGTTTTCTTTTCTTTAAGGCTTTCATTGAAAAGCAAAATATATAACACAATTTCTGTGAGCCTGGGATGCAACAAAACGTATGGTTTGCTACATCAAGCCAATCTTAGGACTGTTGCCCAGCAGAGTCGTTTGTTTGGCAGGGCCAGCTCCTAAAAGCTAAGGCTTGCATGCAGTGATCCCCAAACCAGAGGTGCGAGGATATGGGCACACCCACTTCCTTCATGTAGAGTCTACAGGTTTCCAATGGTTGAGTACTTCCCAAACAATTCCAAAGTTCCAAAGAAGGAGGTGCCCTACCTACTCTTCCTCCGAAGCATCGTCATTATCAGATGCACTCTCACCACATTCAGCCACCTTCTTTTTTGACCTGGGTCCCTTCTTCAATGTCACTCGACGTTTTCCATCGCGTAGATCATGCTCGACCACGCTTACCGGAGTAACGATATACTACAAAGGTACCATGTCAGCAGGACACCCCAAAACAAAATGCTAGTTCAGGTTAGTCACCCAAAACTTCTCAGTGTCCATTTCTGTACGCATATGCTCAACGTCTACATCAGACAATGGTGTGTTGGACATGGTCTCAGCACACACCAAGTGATGCTCCAACTGCGCGATGTGCCTTTCCAAGGCTGCCACCTGACGAGCTGAAAGTCACACGAAAAAACCAGGCGCAGAGATGGGAGGATCTGGGTAAGAAGACATGAAAAAAAAGAATCAAGAATCCCAAATCAATCTAGGCACCAGCTCGCTCGAGTTCTGAACCGCATGCGTGTGCAGGTCATTGACACACTTGGGAAGATCATCATTAAGTTTCTTCAGCCTCAGTGTTTGAGGTTTAGTTAGCGCTACCATGATCTACCATGGTATAAGGGAATGGAAACTGGAAATGGAGGAGGTCGCGCAAGAGATAAATACTAATCACGTCTAGTATCTTGTTGTAGTGTGTCTTTGCATCCTTCAGGATATTTTCAGCAGGGGTCTTTTCCTTGGGAACTTTCTTCTTCTTTGTTCTGATCTCCCCTGTAGTGAGGTCTACAAGGGTTGTCTTCTCTTCCAACTCTTGTTCAACTCCTTAGCTAGGAGTTTTTTGGCTTCTGCACACCTCACACGGCCACCAACCTTCAAGCTGGTGGTACCTCGACTGCCCATCGCCTTTTCCTCGAGCACATCCTTGAGGACTTTGAACATGCGGGCCTTGGGATGATCACTTTGAGGGTGAGGCGTCCCCTTCTGGCCTGGCAAGACCAGAACATGTTTGATAGCTTTGGTTTCTCGTTTTTGACCCCCCCGCACCTTTGACAAGATCAGCAATAAATTTCTGTGCTTCCTTCCCCTTGCCAAATTTCTTCTCCAGCTGGAAAAGAGTGATTGTGATATACCGGTCCTTCCTAGATTCCTCTGCATACTTCGTGTACTGCTCTTCAACCTCTATTGAGTCAACTCCGCTGTTGACGAGAAAGTTCTTCATCATAGAGAACCTTTGCACGCACATATTAGGTGGGAGAACAACATGCATTTTGAACAGCAAACCCAATGCACGCATTGAACTATGTACGAACCAATGCATATGAATACGAGGGGCCTGTCAGCATCACTGGATAACGTGTATTTTGCCATGAGACCTGGAGATGCTGATCGATACACTGCTCTTCGCAGCGCCGCATATTGGCGCTTGCGTTCTTCATAGTCCATGTCAGCTGGTGAACTCATAGCTGCAATTCGTTCTTTTTCTTCAGCTGACAGCTTGACCATTCTCTTGGTCCCACTATCCTGCAAATATCCTAATATAAATTCACACCATGCACACAGCCACATCTATAGATAACACACATTAACAGGCTGTAAAAATAATATCGATCGCAGTCCTTTGAAGCCTTTGTACCAGGTGTGCTAGTAGCAGGTGTGGTACACATCTGCCAAAGCCTTGATGAGGTCAATGCTTGGCATAGTCTTGATAGACTCATAGGGAACCATGGTCTTCTTAACCTGGTCACAACGAACACAAACAAGCTACGTATAGGGTCAATCATATGATTGAAACATATGAAATTAGGTCTTGCGCGCGCCTCTGCCCCAGCTTCACTTCCAGAAGCCTCTTCTTCATTCAGCGCTCTGAATCTTTTCTTTTCAGGCGACGACCCACTTTTGCCTGCTGGCTTTCGTTTTTCTTTGACCTCACCCTTGGCCCGCATCTGCTTTGGCCCATCGCTTTCTGGTGCCACAGTCTTCCTTGCTCCTTTGTTATTCTTTTCTGGCTTCTCCTCATCCTTCTTTCCTTCCTTGGGCACCTTTTTCTTCGCAGCCTCCTTTGCATCGTCTTCTTTTGGTGTCTTCTTCTCCTTCTGGTCAGCCTCCTTTGCTTCCTTCT